CGTATTCTCCGCAATCTAACGGGATTGCAGAAAGAAAGAATCGCACATTGACCGAGATGGTGAATTCGATGTTGATCACATCTGGTCTACCTACCTACTATTGGGGAGAGGCTTTGTTGATGGCTAACTGGATTTTGAACAGAGTACCCTACTCCAAAACTGATAATACTCCTCATCGGTTATGGTTGGGATATCCAGATTCTTTGGATAATCTCAAAGTGTGGGGGTGTCTCGCATACGTTCGAATACCAGATATCAGAAGGCCTAAGCTCGGACCAAAGGCGAACAAATGTGTATTTCTTGGCTTTGCTGGAGATAGCAATGCGTGCAGGTTCCTGGACCTTGGAACTAACTCCATCATTGAAGCTCGGGATGCAGAATTCTTTGAGGATAAGTTTATCAAACATAAAGGCTTATTGCTCAAAGATGTAGCAGAGAATGCTAGTACATCAGATGCACAAGAGGAGCCAGTCAATGATGAAGGAGTTATCGAACCATCTTCCAAGCGCGTCAGAAGACAGAAAGATTTTGGAGATGACTTCATCACCTATAATGTGGAAGGAGATCCACAGACTTTTCAAGAAGCAATGCAGTCAACAGACGTTCTTCTGTGGAAAGAAGCTATAGATGATGAGATGGATTCATTGATCCAAAATCACACTTGGGAGCTGGTGGATGTACCTGAAGGTGCAAGGCCTATCAGTTACAAGTGGATCTTCAAGAAGAAGATTCGTCCTGATGGTACTATTAAAAAGTACAAAGCAAGACTGGTGGCGAAAGGATTTTCTCAGAAAGAAGATATAGATTTCTTTGATATTTATGCACCGGTTTGCAGGATCACTACCATCAGAGTGCTTATCGCATGGGCGGCGATTAAAAGGTTCGTCATACATCAGATGGATGTGAAGACTGTCTTTCTCAATGGAGATCTCACAGAAGAAATCTACATGGAGAAACCAGAAGGACTTGATGCTCTACTTGGTAAGGTTTGTAAACTTGTTAAGTCATTATATGGACTTAAACAGGCACCAAAACTCTGGCATGAGAAGTTCGATGGGGTTGTTCGCAACAATGGGTATCAAGTCAGTGAATCTGACAAGTGCCTATACATCAAGGTCGCTGAAGGAAAGGTGGTGGTCATCTGCCTCTATGTGGATGATATGCTCATCATCGGGAGTGATTTGGAGATAGTAACATCTACCAAGAAATTTCTCTCGGCATAGTTCAGCATAAAGGACCTTGGAACTGCGGACGTGATTCTCGGAATCAAGAGCATATACTCTAAAGAGGGTATTGGATTGTCTCAATCTCATTATGTCGAGAGCATGCTAAGGAAGTATGGCTACTACGACCTGTCAGAACTGTCAGTGCTATACGATTATAATAAGAAGCTTCGACCGAACACTGGAAGACCAGTAGAGCAGCTGAGGTACTCAAAGATCATTGGAAGTCTTATGTACGCGATGAGCTGCACAAGGCCAGATATAGCATTCGTTGTAGGAATGCTTAGTAGGTTCACAAGTAATCCTGGAAAGCTTCATTAGGATGCTGTCCATAGATTGATGAGATACTTGAAAGGAACTACTAGTCTGGGCCTATTCTACACTGGATATCCAGGTGTAATCGAAGGCTATTCGGATGCGAGCTGGTGCTCAGAACCAGATGAGTGCAGATCTACTGGAGGATTTGTCTTCACCATGAGTGAAGCTGCCGTCTCATGGAAGTCTAAGAAGCAGACCATGATTGCGCAGTCATCGATGGAATCTGAATTCTTCGCACTCTGTGTTGCAGGAGATGAAACTGAGTGGCTCAGTTGTATTCTCCGAGACCTTCCATTGACGGAATTGCAAGGTACAATTACTATCTATTGTGATAATCAAGCGGCGAGTGCTGTGGCAGCAAACTCAATGTTCAATAGAAAGAAGCGGACCATTCGTCTGAAGCATGGCTATTTGAGAGAGCTCATTTGTCAAGGAGTCATCTCTGTGATTGACGTTCGATCTTCAGAGAATATGGCTGATCCTTTGACTAAGGGTCTGAAAAAGGACATAGTTGAAAGGACGTCTGCTGGAATGGGTCTCAAAGTTTTGTAAGTCTTACAAATGCTTACCATGTTTATTAAGTTATTAGTTCAAAGCTTATGCTACTAATAATAAAATAATTGGTTCAAAAGTCAAGTAAGATTTGCAAAGTTTGGTGAGTCTTATAAATACTTACCATTTATATCTAGTTATTAGTTCAAAGCTTATGCTACTAATGACAAGATAAATGGTTCAAAAGTCAAGTAAGATTTACAAGTGAAAGGGTTCAAGTTTTCTTGGATTAGTCGGTGTTTAAGGCAAGGTTTAGGGGTTGCGTAACACGCTCCGCAAGGAACGAGGTACTTAATTGATCTTTGATCAACCTCTAATACTATCCTTACCTGGCTTAACTACCCGAGTAAAACTTTGAACCTAGAATCCTATCATGTAAAGGGGATGGCTGTTAAACCTTAATGAGTCCAAAGCATTTCGGATGCGGGGTGTTAGATAGGAAACACACCAAAGGACTCACCTAGAATCCTATCATGAGAAAGGGTGGCTCTTAAGCCTTAATGAGTTCAAAGCATTTCGGATGTGGGATGTTTAATAGGAAACATGCCTAAAGAACTCACCTATGCATGGGTGGAGATTTGGCCGTCTCCTATAGTGTCTTGTGGAAAGATACCTAGAGCCCTAGCAGAAACCAGGACATGCACAGGGCCATAAATGTGCAAAGACAAAGGCAAGGCAAAGGCAAAGGCAAAGGCAAGTGTGGTTCAAAGTAAAAACTACCACAGATAAGTTTGATCTTGTGTGATCGCTAGATTTTTAGACATGTGCTGGTTCAAGTCTCTGCGACACCATGCACCTATCTTTTATTCAGTTGGTCTAAATGGGATTCAAGTCCTTGCGACATCTTCCTTACGCACAATGATTGAAACGACGGCACCATTAAAATTTGTGGGGGATTGTTAGATAATTTTAATGGGTGGGCCCCATTTTCTTTGACAGCCGCCCACGTTTTATTTTGCCAGCACCATCTTCTTCTAAAGCACCTCCCTTCTTTGACAATTTGAAGAAAAACAAATTGGTGGGTCCCACATATTTTGAAAATGAAAATAAAAACGTGGTTGAAACCTCTCTGCACCGAAAGCAGCTGTAATTGTTGAAAAATAAAGAGCGTGGGCCCCACATGCATAGTAAAATATATTATTTTATTAGTGCATAGTATTTTTCCAAACGCTATAAATAGACCTCAAATCCTTAAGGAAAATTCATTCCAAAAACAACAATCAATATATACAGATATATTTTGTAGAATAGCTAGTGCTAGTAGGGACAGTGCCTAGACCGAGAAGGTCTTACAGATCGAGGAGATCTTTGCCTGAGGAGATCGAGGAGATCTTTTGCCTGATAGATCGAGGAGATCTTTGCCTTACAGATCAAGGAGATCTTGACAGTACTGGGTTGGTGCACACCAGAGTACTGGACTGCTGTTCCTGGAAGCAATTTGGCCTTGGGATCCTTGCATCGGAGTAGGCAAAATAATGCTTTAAGCACAGCGTTTTACAAACGCACAACAGCTGAGTTGAAAAAATTTAAATTATTGTACTTCAGCTTTTTTTCAGTTATTAGCTGCTATATATCTGTATTATTCCAGTTTTAACCACAGGCGCCAACATGATGTTCTGGTGATGGAGAATCTCTTTTATGAACGGAAAGTGACAAGTATTTATGATCTTAATGGATCTACAAGGTCACGGTATAAGCTAAATTCAAGCGGTAAGAACGATGTGCTACATGATCAAAACCTTATTGAGGAAAAGGCAACTTCTTCCATCTTTGTCAAAAACAAGGCTAGAAGGCTTCTGGATAGAGCTATTTGGAATGATACTTCTTTTCTTGCAGTGAGTAGAAAAGACTATCCTCCAGCTATTCCCATTCTTAATTTTCCTACGATTCCTTAAGTGCATAATTTCACAAACGTGGGTGCTATTTGCATTTGAAAGAATTATATAACTATAACTGCAGAATAGTTAAAGTTTGATGACCACCTCCTAAATGTGAAACTTTAATCTCTATTGACTTTTCTTGTAAGAGAATCTCCCTAAAACTATCTTGGTACATTTGCATTTTGTTTACGGCTTATTAGTGCTGGACGCTATCAAAGAGCCATTCCTGTGTATTTACACATCATATATTCTCGAAAATAGTCTCTCATGTCCTGAAATTGATGATGTATCCAAGATGTGGCTGATACATATACTAAACTGAACATGTCTAATCCAAGTGCAAGAACTAAAAAGTAATTTTGATAATGAAGTGACAAGATTCATGATTCAATTTGGAGTGACGAGATTCACGATTCATGATTCCAAGTGGCAGTAGATAAGTAGAGATTGTTCAGGTAAAGAGAAATTCAATTAAAATCATAAAGTTGTACATGGGGGTTTCAATATTTTCTACCATGATAGATGAACTTATTTGGGGGAATAAGTTATTATATTTAATTTGTGTTAACTGTTCTGTTGCTACTACGTGTTGTATCTGAAAGCAAATAGAAGATGTATTTAATGATACTTGTCATGCATACTTGTTTTGCTGTATCCTACAAGATTGCTTAGTCCCTAATCCATGTCGCATCACATTGAATAATTGTGTCTTTAGGTCATGTAACTCAGACTAGGATCAGTGTAGTCAAAATTTCTTTTCGAAAACTAACATAACTTGGATATTTAATGTGTGATATATTTAAAAGAGCAATATGTCCTCAAGGCATCAATTTACTTCGTTTCTGGATTTGTCATGTTGAAATGTCATGGTTGTTTAATATTATTTGAAATCTCATGCTCGACTAGTATTCCTAATATATATGGATTTATTGTGAAAAAGGTGCATTTGCATGCTTCTTTCTGAATCCTGTGTTTTTTAATTTTTCATGCTTGATTCCTAATGCGTCTGTTGTTAATGTTGGTGTAGTCCATTGATGTAATCAGTTATTCTCTACTTGTGGGGGTAGACGAAGACAAACATGAACTAGTAGTCGGCATCATTGACTTTTTGCGACAGTATACCTGGGACAAACAGCTAGAGACATGGTTCAAAGCTTCAACTATTTTTGGAGGAGATGAATCCCTAACACCAAAACAATACAAAAAGCGCTTTAGGAAAGCTTTGTCTTCCTATTTTCTTGGTCTTCCAGATTAGTGAACATGTTTGGCACCTTCAACCACTCTACCTACCGAGCATGACTGAATTTTTTAAGTTGTAAGTCTGAAATCATCTGCATTTTGCTATGGGTTTCTTTACATTTTTTAAAAAACTTTAAATTTATAGTTTTTTGGTTTTGCCTCATTTATATTAATTTTATTGCATTTGTGAATTATGTAGGTCATGGTTGAGACCATGGGATTTTTAATGGGCCATAATATTTGATGTACTTGATGTCATATGTACTAAATATTCACGTTTATTACCAATTTAGCATGTCACGTGCATATATACACGTTTATTACCAATTTAGCATGTCACATGCATATATACACGTTTATTACCAATTTAGCATGTCACGTGCATATATACACGTTTATTACCAATTTAGCATGTGGGAACCAAAACTCAGATATGCTATTGTTTCTAATTGTTTGTTGGCTAGTTCAGTGCTTTGATGAGTTTGTTCAGCTTGGGAGTTCAGGTCGTTCCTTTTATTTTTGGCTTGAATTATGAATTTTTATCGTCCTCCTGGACGATGGACATATGTTAATGTTATACTAATTTATAGTCACATTTTGGTTGGGAACCATATTGAATGCTTCATAGCATTACAAATGTTCTCTCTGGGTAGACAGGAAGTAAATGGAGATTAAAGGCTTATAGACACTTTAGATCACAGCTCTGTACTGAGAAAGCAACAAATGTTCAAATAATGGGCAGTTAAATTGAAGGAAATTCGAAAATGAAGAGTTCTAAATTCTAAGGCGTGTTTTGATAGGTGTGTGAATGGAAATATCCTGCTTCTATCGTTCCCTAGCCTCTTGAAACAATATTTTGGCTCGATAGGACCATCGCGTACATGCATCTAGCATTGTACATGCCTTTTGGCCAGCTAGTTCTGAATCAGTTATCATCAAATATTTGTAGTTAATCTTGGTAATTCTATTAGTTTCTTGTTATTTGATCCCTTTATACTTAACTGTATCAACCTATTTATATAATTATCATTTATGAGGTCATTTGCATAATCCTGTTAGTAGCTGTTGGAGCCTGATGATTGCAGTAAGGTAGAGATACATTTGTTGTTTGTGAACTGTTATTGCAACTGGACCTTTGTAGAGATTTGTCTTGCAATATTACATAGGAAAAACCAGCTCTTACTGGGAGCTTAGATGTTATACAACATGAAGAAACCACAGAAGAAGTATATCTTTGTATGGTTTTCTCTTTTAGAAGATTTGGAATACTTTAGTTCTTTACACTTGCGCTAAGTAGGAGGAACGAAAAATAAGCTTAGCTTATGTTAATATTTTGCTTGATACACCCAATACCTAGGGGTACTTCCTTGGTAAACTGGCTCTCTTTTAGTAGGCTGGTTCTGGGTGTCACATTACATCAAAAGTAGCATGTGTCCGCACTTATTTTATGAAACATTTAAAAGTGTCATTTTGTTGCAAAAGATTAAATAATAGTGATACAAATAAGAAGTGTGGTAAATCATGACATATATTTGTATTATTAGATATAAAATGAAATAAATTTGAAAAAGGCTAATAGTCATACATTGGTTGTATGAGGATATATTGATAGGCTTATATAATAAGTCTTAGATTTTAAGTATATTGGTGATTAAACATATTTGATAGTGTATAAGTCAAACAACTCCATGGTTAAAAGTGTGCTTTGGTGAGAGTAATCCTTGGATGGGTAACATTCTGGAAAGTTATAGTGTTAAGTGGTGGTACTTTTTTATATTTTTATGATCTAGACACAGCTATGTACTTGACACGTGTATATGTCGCGAGTTTTGTGGTACATGTATGTGTCACCATTCTCGATAAATTAATGTGTCAAGAGTTTCACTATATGTCATAAGTTTTATAACACATGTATAACCTTCTGGAAAGTTATAGTGTTAAAATGGTGATACTTTTTTATATTTTTATGGTCTAGACACAACTATGTTCTTGACACGTGCATATGTCATGAGTTTTGTGGTACATGTATGTGTCACCACTCTCGATACATTAATGTGTCAAGAGTTTCACTATATGTCATAAGTTTTATAACACATGTATCCTTCTGGAAAGTTATAGTGTTAAATGGTGGTACTTTTTTATATTTTTATGGTCTAGACACAACTATGTACTTGACACGTGCATATGTCACGAGTTTTGTGGTACATGTATGTGTCACCACTCTCGATACATTAATGTGTCAAGAGTTTCACTATATGTCATAAGTTTTATAACACATGTATAACCTTCTGGAAAGTTATAGTGTTAAAATGGTGATACTTTTTTATATTTTTATGGTCTAGACACAACTATGTTCTTGACACGTGCATATGTCATGAGTTTTGTGGTACATGTATGTGTCACCACTCTCGATACATTAATGTGTCAAGAGTTTCACTATATGTCATAAGTTTTATAACACATGTATCCTTCTGGAAAGTTATAGTGTTAAATGGTGGTACTTTTTTATATTTTTATGGTCTAGACACAACTATGTACTTGACACGTGCATATGTCACGAGTTTTGTGGTACATGTATGTGTCACCACTCTCGATACATTAATGTGTCAAGAGTTTCACTATATGTCATAAGTTTTATAACACGTGTATGCGTCACAAGTTTTGCGACACATTCTCACATGTGTAAAAATACACTCCACACATACTCTACATATACATACACACTTTTAGTATGTGTTGCGCTCCATTTGTACGATACAAAAATGTTTTTAAATACCCAATAGTAGGGTAAACTACACCAAAATATCCAAAGTTTGCCCATTATTTCACCGAAGTATGCAAAATTTAAAACCCTAAAAATACGCAATAGTTTCAAATCCTATGCTTGAATATGTTATAGATCTAATAAAAACTTGAGATCTAAACCATAAAGCCATGATTTAATTCAAAGAGATTAACAAGAATCAAAAGGTGCGGAAGCATATACCTGAATCCATCGAAAAAAATTTGATTAGGGTTTTGATGATCTTCTAACCTTAGGGTTTCTCTCTTATGGATCTCTTTAGATGGGGATAAGAGAATGAGAGTGGTTAACCCTAGATTAGGGACCATAACCCCTTATATATAGGTGTTGTACTTTTGTAATTTGGACCCTCATCAAATTACAATTATAACCTGGTATCTACACATATAACCCCCATGATTTATTTAAATACCTATTAACCCAAATTGATTGATCACTTTAAGTGGGTTATCCTTAAAGATAGTAATACACATTGATTAATCATATGTGCCCACAAATAGATTTAAATCCAACATCATACCCTTTTGTTTTCAAATATTTCACGTTGCTACCTTTTGTTATTTGGTTGTTAGAATACTCTAGGAATCTTTATTTTTATTTTTTAACGGTAGATACTTTAGGTATTTTTTTGTAGGGTTTTAAAGCTTGGGGTTTTTAGTGCAATATTAGGCAAACTTTGGGTATTTTGATGTAATTTACCTTTTTTATTTAAAGCCCGTAGGGGATATTTTCTCAATGCGAACTTTTCTTAGACTTTTTAATGTTAATTACAAAATTACATGCAATGTGATCAGTACATGTCTATTTTTAACTGGTCCTCCTTTAGTGAGGTCAAAACCAAACATAATGTAATAGAGTGTCTTAACTGAATACTTTATTCTGATCAGACAATACAACCAAACACAAAGCACCAGAAAATTATAAACTCTCACTAAATCATGATATCCTTGGATAACACCACACCCATATGAGTAGTATGCTCATGAAAGATCTTAGATGGCAATCCTTTAGTAAGAGGATCTGCTATCATGGAGTTTGTCCCAATATGCTCTATAGATATCTGTCCACTTTGTACCCTTTCTTTTACAACCAGGAACTTAATATCAATATGTTTTGATTTAGTTGAGCTCTTGTTGTTATTGGAATACATAACTGCAGATTTATTATCACAAAATAACCTCAGTGGTCTTTCAATATTTTCCAAAATGCGCAGTCCAGTGACAAAATTTCGCAACCATATTCCATGATTTGATGCCTCATAGCAAGCTACAAACTCTGCTGCCATAGTGGAGGAAGCTACGAGTGTCTGTTTTACACTTTTCCATGATATAGCTCCTCCTGCTAACATATAAATGTAGCCTGATGTAGACTTTCTGCTATCTTGGCATCCAGCAAAATCAGAGTCCGAATACCCAATGACCTCCAACTGTTCTGATTTTCTATATGTGAGCATATAATCTTTTGTTTTCTGAAGATACCTCATAACCCTTTTGACTGCTATCCAATGATCCATACCAGGGTTGCTTAAGTATCTGTCTAACATCCCAACAATGTACGCAATATCTGGACGCGTACATACCTGAGCATACATTAGACTTCCTACAGTCGAAGCATAAGGAATCTTCTGCATTTCCTGAATTTCAAGGTTACCTTTAGGGCACTGATTTAGACTAAACTTGTCTCCTTTAGCAACAGGGGTATCTCCTGGTCTACAGTCTTGCATGCCAAACCTTCAAAGTACCTTATCGATATAGCTCTTTTGTGATAATCCAAGAATACCCCGAGAGCGATCTCGATGTATCTGGATTCCTAATATAAAAGAGGTGTCCCCAAGATCTTTCATCTCAAAATTCTTTGATAGAAATCTCTTGGTTTCGTGCAACATACCTATATCATTAGTGGCAAGCAATATGTCATCGACATACAGAACCAGAAAAACATACTTACTCCCACTGAACTTGTGATATACACAGTCATCAACAATGTTCATCTCAAAACCGAACGAGATAACTATTTGTTGAAACTTATGATACCATTGACGAGGAGCTTGCTTGAGTCCATAGATGGATTTCCTTAATTTGCAGACCATATTCTTTGGGTCTCCCGACACAAAGTTTTCTGGTTGCACCATATAGATCATCTCATCAATGTCTCCATTGAGAAATGCAGTCTTAACATCCATCTGATGTAACTCAAGATCATAATGAGCAACAAGTGCCATGATTATTCTGAAAGAGTCTTTCGATGAAACCGGAGAGAAAGTCTCTGTATAATCAATGCCTTCCTTTTGAGTATAGCCTTTAGCCACAAGACGTGCCTTATACCTCTCCACATTACCATTTGCATCCCGCTTGGTTTTAAAAATCCATTTACAACCAATTGGTTTTGCACCTTCTGGTAATGGGACAAGTTCCCAAACCTTATTGTCTTGCATAGACTTGTACTCTTC